CCTCGCTACAACCTCCTTTCAGGTAGTTGTAGAGAGCGATGAGGTCTCCCCTGAGCCTCCTTTTCTCCAGGCTAAATGACCCCAGTGCCCTCAGCCACTCCTCATCAGACTTGTTCTCTAAAACGTTGAAGATGTCCCTGCTCATTGCAGGGGGGTTGGACTAGATGACCTTTAAAGATCCCTTCCAACCCAAACCATTCTATGATTCTATGAAGATATGCCGACACAGGCAGTGCTGTTTTGCCTCTCCCATAGCTCTGCCTTTTGAAAGCATCCTTTCGCTGGCTGAGGTCACATGTAGCAGAGAGCCATAGCGGTGAAGGGAATCAGCACGTCTCCAGGTGACTGCATTCATGGTGGAGAGAGTGGGACACCTCACCTCCACTATGATACCCCATCGAGGGCTCCAGCCCACTGCGTTTAAGCACATCTGCTACTCCTTTACCAACTCCCATAGGGAGAAGCCTCAGCTGGGCTGATGCTGCTGTGGGGCCGCTGAAGCAAGGCACAGCCCCAGCACTTGCAGGAGCCCATCCTACAGGGAGGTGGTTGGGAGAGGACCTTAGCTCAGGGACTAGAGTTTAAATACCGTGAGGTTGGTGCCTAACAAGGGGCAACCCCCATTGCTAGTCCAGCTGCCAGGACCAGTCGGGCAACTGTTCTCACCTATACTCTGCTGGGTGCTGTGCTTCCAGCTGGCTTCCCACCATCTTTCTTCAGCACTTACCCACCTGTGTGCACTCTGCTGGATCTGTCCCTTACACCAGCACCTTCCCTGGACAGAAGATTCCCTGCAGGCATAGGACATAAACAAGACAGTCAGCTGCAACTCAGGCAAACAGTATCTAAACCCTTCTCTGCTGGGCAGTGCAAAGGAAGTAGAGCGAGCCGAGGGGCAGGGAAACACACCGAAATGCTAAATGGCCATCAGCCCCTGCCTTTGGCTGGAAAACAGTTTTGACCGAGTGCTCAGGGAGATATCCTGCACTGCTCAAAGTTTCCTTTAAAAGCAGAGACTTTGCACGTGCCCTCCATCTCAATTTTTTTTCCCCAGATGAGGAAACTTGGTCACAGGACAAAAGACTTACCTAACACTATGTCACAGGTAGGGCAAGCATAATCATGTTTCCCATATCACCATCCAGTGCTCTGTCCTCTAAACCGAGCTTCCACCTTTGCCTCAGCCCCTCAACCCCAGCCAGCCGCTTTTGCCACAGCTTGGACTAACCAGCTCCAAAGCCTGGGCAGGCATACAGTGCACCAGCGAACAGGGGGAACACGCATCACTCTTACTTGATACTATGGACATTAACATAGACAAATGAAATGGGAACAGAACATTCCTACAAGACACAACTTGAATTTATGTTTATTTTATATATATATTTTATATATTATACCTTTTTTTTGTTTAGATTAAACTGGGCGGCATTTTATCATATACATTTTTTTGGTATAATACATGAGAAACAGGAACAGGAACATAGCAAATATAAATCAGTACATTCCTTGAGCAAACTCTTTGCCACACTGAGACTGAAAAATTGCATGCAATGGGGAGACAGAGAGAAGGGAAATAAATTTTATTTTAAAAAAAGAAATAAAGACAATCTAGGTACAACTGTCAACAGAGGAGCAGCACTATATAAGGCAAACCTGTATAAATTAAAAATAAATTCCACTCTGACATCTACTATGCTTTAAAGTGCAATAAAGCATGATTTATTTACCTACAGAATACAGGAAAGACTACCCCCTCTCCCCATTCCAATCTATCCCTAAAAAAAAAAAACAAAACCCAAACAAAAAAACCAATAAAATAAATCTAAAGGATATACATTATCCACAGTCCTATAGAGACGCCTACATCTACTCAGTAGCACCAAGAATCTGATATGGGTGTAATTAAAATCAATTAACACTAGGGAGCAATGGTAACATCTGTTTGCTGCTTTTGCAGACCTCCTGCACTTCATTAGTGTCTTGGAGGAGAGGCGGCTCTCCCTGTGCTGAAAGTGAAGGTGACAGTGTCCTGTCCTCTCTCCATCACCAGCCGAACTGTTTTGGCAGTAGGCTACAAACACGCACACACGCACGCACACACATACACAGCACAGTGAGAGCAGCTGCAGGTTACACGAAGGGGAGGGGAAGCCGAGGCCCCATGGGTGCGCATGGGTATCTGTACATATGTGCGCACGTGGATGTGTGTGTGTGGAGGGAGTAGAACTAATCTACACAGAGGTGAAGGGTTGTGCGAGTCCAACACATGCCACGAGCCTCTTTGGTGACAGGGTGATGGGAAGGGGAGGGAGGGAGAAAAAGGGAGTCAGCACAGTCCCCTTCTTGTGAGCCTCCGGTTGTGTTGTCTTCCAAGGCCGGGGGCCTGCACGCCACAGTTCATCTGTCTCCACATGCCACCTCTCAGCAGGCCTCAGTAGCCAAAGGTCTCCTGGGAAGCATAGACCATGTAGAGGAAGCCATCCTCGTCCTTCTCCTGCTCATAGATCTCCGAGATGGGGGTAGACACACTCACCATGCTGTGTTGGTTCACCAGCAGGAAGAAAGCCTGCGTGGGATTCAGCTGCAAGCGACGCCTGTGGGGGCAAGGGCAGAAGGGTCTGGGTCAACCCACCTGGGGTAGGCACTGTGACAGCAAGTTCTACCTCCCCTCAGCAATGCTGTTCACATGGGGCCAGGCCTGCACGGCTAGGACCTCCTCCCACACGCTCAGGACATGGTGTCCATGAGCCCAGCTGAGCTGCTCGGGGCTCCAAGACCTCCTGAGTTGGGACTCTGCAAAAGCCCCTTTCTCCAAGCGCTGCTGGTAAGTGCAAAGCAGAGGGGCCTCTTCCATCTGAGCTGAAGGATAAAAGAAGGGGATTGGAGTCCCCCTCATCAGCTCATGGACTGTCCCTATGAGGGAGAGGTCACAGTACTTCACCAGATGCTAAGAACCTGCACCCCCTCGACTCCCCCAAACAGTCTGTACCACAAAACAACACAAGGATGCTGTGGTTGTCCTGTCCCCATCCCCACCCTCAGCAGCTGCCTCTGCCTCATCCTCACCCCACCACTCTGTGTTCAGGGCCTGTGGGTGAGGACAAGTTCACAGCATGCCAGCTGGGGCCACCCCACTCACCGGATTATTTTCACCAATTCACTCATGTTGACATGGTCTGGGACAAGGAACTTGGTCTTGTCCAGCACTGGCAGCTGTTTCTCCCCTTTATAGCGTTCGATTATGACCTGGGGAGAAAGTCAATGGTAGGGTTAGCCACAGTTTACAGTGCCCCAAGCACTGGCCTCAAGGTCAAACAAACTAGCACAAATGGAAAAGTTGAGATAAGGCCCCACTTTGCTTCATCCTCACCTCAGGAAAACAAAAAAAAGGACTCGCACAGTGACCATCAGGTTGGCTGCAGGCAGCTCTTCAGCAGAGTCATCTGTCTGCCTGAGCCAGACAGTGGAGAGCATCCATGATAAGTGAACTAAAGCATCAATTGCTCTGGCTGGCTGAGAAACAGTAGGCATTAGTGGATTGATTTAGCTACCTCCCCCGACATGTAGGAGATCTGAAAGGAGTGAAGTGTATTCTAACATCACTTTCAGACTGACCAAAACCACAGGTTTTGCTGGCTTGAGCTAAGGACTGAACTCATGGTGCACAGCAAGAGACATTTTCTTTCCCTTTTGTGCCAGAACTTCGGGCTGCTGCCGTTCAGCATCACCCTGCTTGCTCAGGAAGAGCTGCGGCTATTCCCAAACAAGCGGTTTTTAGAAATCACTGCGAAGCCACCCAAGGCATTCCTTCAGAAAGGGGGAGTTTGGATTTCGCCAGTCCCACTCCTCATGTTAACACTCAGACACACTGACTCCAAAAAGGATCAGAAACCCATGGCCGCTTCTCCCATGTGCCACCACAACGGTGCGGTGAGCTTCCAGGGCACTTCAGCACAGTGCCACCACAGGGACAGCCCAACCTGTCCTCCCCCTGCAAGAGGTCTCGCTTGGGAAAGCTCTTGCCACACCTACATTCTGAAACGGCTAAACAATTATTTCTGTTCAGTTTTCCTGCTATTATAATTAATGAATTTCTTCTGTTAAGGAGCATCTGCTGACCAGTACAATTGCTATTCTAAACCAGCTTGGAAATGTACTATTTGTATTCTAAGAAACAAGGTGGTAGACAGTTAAAATAAGTAATGATATTACTTATAAAGCTCAATAAGTTCCCACTACAGTGATACTCTGACTCTCACATCTCTCCAGTACCTAGTTGTTTTCTCCACAGAAAGACACTTGTATACTAATCAGTTCATCGTTCTCTCCGAGTTGAGACTGAACATTATTTTTCACTATAAGGCAAGGAGTTCCCATAAATCATTTTCCCAGGTCTTTTCCAAAGATACACAGGAGACTGCAAATGCCTTTGGACAGTGGAGGGATGGAACAGCATGCAGAGATCAGCATCCCCAGAAGATGGCTCTGTGGAGCCAAAAGGATCAGGCAAACCTCTGGGAACATTGATTTGCTTTTCCCTGAATCATTTGTTGACACACCAGCCTCTATCAGCAGCAGCAATGTAACTCCTGCTGCCTGTCTACACCAAAGCCAAATCAGACACTCTGGTTGGGATGTTGCGGTACCACCAGTGAGCTGGGAATGTCTGATGAGTTCCTCAGAACTGCAGGGCTTATCTCAAGGCCCACCAGGATGGGCCAAGCTACGCTGCAGGCAGTTGCTGGATGAGGGAGGGGTGTGAGGCGCCTTGGAACTGCAGGGCTTATCTCAAGGCCCACCAGGATGGGCCAAGCTACGCTGCAGGCAGTTGCTGGAGTTACCAAGTTACCAAGTTGCTGGCGCCTTGGTAAGAGCTCTGCATCTAAATGCCCCCTGAAGAGCCCATCCTGGACAAAGCTCACACAAGGGGAACCCAGGAGCCCAAGGGCTGGACAAGCAGCACATGAAAGCCCCCATGAGTCCACCCATGTATTCTCACATTGGCCATGTCTCCTCTTGATACTGAGCAAGAGTGCCAGAGAAAAAGACCAGGAAAAGCCAGGTATTGCTCCTTCGGCCCCTTTTGCAAGATGGGGACCTGATGAAAGAACAATTTTCTGCAACAGACTAAATCGTGCATCAGGGTGCCCCTTACCAACCTGCTAACGTCCCTTCCTTCCTCCAGGAGGAGGGCAGAGGAAGGACAAAGACAAGCAGAACCATCCCACTGTATTTAATTTGAGTCTTACTTGGACAGGTGAGTATTTTGGCTATAGGGAGATGAATAGTCTCAAGGGGCTGGGCACTCACAACAGCCATATACAGGGATGCTGCTCTGGCCACTGGAAAACACAGAGGCAACAGTGGGACCTCGAGTTTTTAACAGTAGTTTTCACAAAGGGGCAGCTACGCAGCAACTGTTTGTGCATATACCTTTACATGCAGAGAGGGCCCTGTACACCTGGGCTATGCCTCATTTCTCACTTACATCTAGCAGGAACAGAAGCAGATGTCTCTAATTACCAGCCGGTTCCATCCCACAAAGAAAAGCCTCTCAATTAGTCCAAGAATGGGCCGAGAAGGATGTCCTGGCTGTTAAAGCAGCAGCTGCCTTGTGCCCTGAGCAGACAGAGGGCCTGTCATGTAGAACAGCTCCAAGAGTTTCTGTTTCCAGAACAGGAGCTGCTATTTGGGTAACCCAGCTACGGGAACAGGTGGCCAACGGACAAAACATTCTTGTCTAGCTTTGAAGGGAAATGCATGATCACATGCTAATATTACATCCCTGTGGCCACAGGGCTTGTATACAAAGCCACCTCCCCTCCCGTATCCTCTTCCAAGCTGCTGCCTCTGGCCACGGGGTTCCTCAGTGTGGGACACCTGCTCTTGCAGTGGGAACCCACCACAGATCACACTGCAGAAATAACACGAGCGGGGCACAGGTGGAAAGGCTTAGGGCAGAGCCTGGGGTCCTGGTCCCATCGCAGAGGGGCTTGGGCAGCATTTATAAACTCAACCTTTGTTCTGGGGCCAGTCTGAAGAGGTGGAAAGGGATTTTGGTAGGGAATGGGGCCAGACGTGGCAGCCTGACAGAGGCAAGGCTGCCACCGCTCCATGCCCCCAGGTCCAACCAGCAGCAACGCTGAGAATATATTCCCAGTTGGCATACACACAAATGTGTGTATGTAACATACATACCTATATACATGGCCAGCCACAGAGATCAACACAGACATGCAGAGCACTCACACAAACACAGACAGCACCACCAGCCTCATCCTGTCCCCCTCCAGCGCAGCAGGGGGGAGGTCCTTTAGTGGGAATATATACAGTAACCCGCCCTCAGTCCAAAAGGTGCTCTGGTGTTGATCCACCTTCAGTCATGTCAGCCCTGGACAATGGGTCTGCAGCTGCCTGGAACAGCCCTCGCAGGCGCCCAGAGAAGGTTGTCCCTTCCTCCAAGTCCGTAATTTGGGTTTCTGTCCACCACTGTGCCGGGGCAGGGCATTATCTGGGCTCCCTCACCTGCCATTGCCTCTCCATGCTCCTCTGTGGGTGTGCAGATGGGCTTTTTATCACATAACCTAACAGAAACCTCTCTGCATGGCCCAAACACACCCTCAGCCTTCCCAGCAGCATGAGAGGTGGCTCTTCCCTAACCCACCCTCTGCAGCAGTAGAGCCCGTGACTCACCAGGCCTCGCTGAATTTAGCATTACAGTGCTTTGGGACATGGTTTGCTCCCGTTGCTGCCCAGCACAAGCTGTTCCCTAGTGATTTTAGACTCTCCAAGGCTCACCGGAGCTGGCTTAAAGCTTGCAGCTGCTCCTCAACAGGCTCCAGTTCAATGGGCTCCAGAAAGAGAGCACGGGGGCCAACAGCAGGTGAGGGTGATGGACAGACATAACCTCAGTCTATCCTCTAACAGGGCAGAAGATGATTTCTAAAGCATCTGCTGAGGCTGTGGATGGAGGTCCCAGCAAGAAGGCTGGAAACTCTCTGCTTGCTCTGACCACCCGAGGAGGAGCCACCCCGCAGCTGCCTGCAAGGGGCAGCTGGAGGCTCCTTCCCAGCAGAGCTAAGCGTGAGCAGCACCTCACTGCCAACACAACCGTGCCCTTCTCAGTAAGAGCTGTATGTTCCTGTGGTCAGCAGTTTTTACCATGGAAGTGCAGCCAGCTTTGGGGAATGCAGAGACAGCAAAGGAGCCCCTGGCATGAGGTGGATAGGGCAACACTGGGGAGCCCCTAGCTTCTGCCTATCTCCTTTTTACATGTGCCAGTGAGGATGGGATGTGATTTCCTTTCAAACACAAGCAGAGAACTCCATGCCTCAGGCAGAGTCCAGGTTATCTACTGCTTTGTCTCTGGTGGGCTCAGACAGACACACCACCAGCTCTCTCCCCATGCAGTCCCCCCATGTGTATGTGGCACAGCCCCTTCCTCAGCCTCCTCTGGAAGTACCCTCGTGGAAACAGGAGAGAAATGCCTTTTCCTGGGCAGAAACTGGAGATGCAAGAAGAGGGCAGCAGCTGCAGCACAGCTTGCTGTGATTTCTGCTAGCAATAAGAGTGTGACCTGGGCCATCTTCTCCCTAACTCCCCCTGGGCTGTGGGCTCAAACCCCTTTGCTAATTCCAAGTGCCTCACGAGGGGAGCCAGTCACTTGGCAAACACAGCTCCTGCCTTTCACAGAAGACCAAGACCTTTGTACAGCCAATTTGCCTGCGCTGCACTGCTCAGACCCACAGCTATCCCCCACACCAAGCTCCGTTTTGCAGTATGAGGCTTTGCTCACAGCCCCAGCACTGAAAGCTACATACAGTGACTTGCAGGAACTTTGCTATGTAAAAGAGAAGAGACAGCACCAAACTTGGTGTCAGGGTCTAATCAGGACCAGGCCTTTAGAGATACCAATGACACAAAGACAGCTGGACCACCCAAGGCCTTCAACACCCTTCTCTCGTCCTGATTCTTTTTACTGCTCCAGCAAAACTTGCAGCTAAATGTATCCTCCCCTGCCGTGTCAGTCAGCCCAGGAAAGCAAAGCAGCTGAACGTTTAGCTGAGTCCCTCATCCTCTCACAATGCTGGCACTCAGGACACTATCAAGGACAATAAGGCACTGAACAAAGAGGTCACTGGAGCAGGTGTGGGAGGGCTCAGGTCTCTGCCATGGCTAAACCTCCCCGCACACACACAACTCCCCAGACAACCACACCAGCGGCCAGGCCCTAATGACACAGAAGCCTTCTCCCGGGGCACGTGGTGTTTGACCCCAACACAAAGAGCACTCCAGGCATGGAAGCTCTCCCATCACCTTTCAGTAATGCTGGTAAAATTCTGCATGTGGATGCAGAGCTCTGGCTCCTTCTGTTCATTTCCCAGGCAACACGCATTTGTGTACAGGCACTTGATATATGCACGTGTGTATATTTTATGTACAACTTATTTCGAGCCTGTCCTTATTGCTAGAGCCTTAAGGCATTGTAATTAGCTCTGCCACAACTCTGGAGAAATGCAGAGCCAGCCTAATGCCATGAAAACCATGTTAAAAGCAATGGTCAATAAATGTGTAGATGATATGGCATACTGGTATTCAGTGTGCTGCAAGGGGCAGGTCCTGCTCTGCTGAGCTGACAACACGTGGACGCCACAGTGGTGGTGGAAGAGAAGGAAGAGAAAGAATTCTTTTTGCTAGAAGATGCTGTGCTAAAATCAAAAGAAGAGCAAAGCAGGAATGGACTAGTATGTGCCAAGAGCAGTCTGAGACATTAAGCCTTGAAGGCTAAATACTGAGAGATTGTATGCAATTTTAAGACAAGGCTGATGTTCATCCAACACTGAGAGTGAGCTGAACTAGGAACACGTCCCATTTTTTGGTCATACATGCTATGGTATTGCAAATACTAACTCGAGCAAGTCCCAAGTACATTATTTCTCTAAGTTCTCCATCTTCTCAGGAAGAGAAGCAAATACTCAGCTAGGATATCAAAAGCACACTCACAGCTGAAGAGCAAGACAGCATATTAGCTCTGACATGGGCAGGAAGAACTGGAGGCAATTCATGGAGTCTCACCTATGCATATCAACAACAGGTGCTGGGAAAGCACAGAACAGGTGTGACTCTTTGGCTGTGGTATGAATTATCCTAACAAGAGTCCCTTTGCTTTCAATACAGCGAAGATCATCTCACACATCTTTCTGTGGGCAGATGCAGAGAAATCCTTAACAGGTTATCCAGGAAAAGTCAGGTAGCTACTGCAACAACAACAACAAAAGAGGCCATTTCAGAGTTTTCTCCTGCTGCACTAGCTTGGAAGCAGATTTGAGATCAAATCAGTTCCTTGCCTCTAGGGCAGGCATGAAGCTTAAGAGAAACACTGTATTTTGCACTGCTGAGAATGTGGTCTACTATTGAGCAGCCGGCATGCACAAGGCACTGGAGGCTTATGGAGAGCGTCCTGTGTTGATTCTGGGGAGCAAAGTTTTGTAACCTCCATGGCTGGCTGGTGAAGGCTATCCAGCAGCACAGAGGGGTCATGAGAACAAAGTCTAATGCAGAACAGCAAGAATGATAACTTACCGGAATTTTGTTTGGATGCTGCTCTCGGATCTGCTGTACTTCTTTACAACGATCCGCTGGAAAGAAAGAAGTACAGAAACGAAGTTAGAAACACCTGGCTGTGCTAGTTCAGGCAAAAACGAGGTAACCACCTTGCAAGCCACAAACTGACAAAGAGGGACACTGCAAAAGAAATGCAAATTCTGTTCACCAGGCCTTTTCTGAATATTTTGCAGCAGTGAGATGCTCAGCCAGATGTCAGCTTCAGTGATCAACCCTTCATGGCTTCCTACCACCCCAATCATCCCCCAAGGCAGGGACATGCTAGCCTGCCTGGTACAACTGGGCAATACACATGGAAACCAAATGACTTAAACGAGACCATAAGGATTACAAAACTGTAATCCTAAATCTACCTTAAGCAAATGCAACTCATGACCATCAGTGCTGGGCAGCAGCACAGCTTTAGAGTCCCAGCTCTGGAAGTTCAGGCTCTTTGTGTCTCCTGGCTGCTTCCCCAGAGGAGATGATTCTCCAACTGGGGCTGGGTTTTAGCCATTTCCTTCTGCCTGTTGCATGCTTCCAAGCACTATCTGGCACAGTGCCTCGGTCCAAAAGAGATACGCCTTGCCAGGGAGGACTCCTTCACTATCATAGATCTACATAGTCGCTACAACAGCTATTGGCCTGACAGAAAGTATTTCTAGACCCATCGTGGAAACAGGAAGAAAAACTTAAGCAAGGAGATGACCCACATACTAAAAGATTCTTTCTGCAGTTGTTCTCACACTTTCTAACCCATTTTCCTCCAGAGTTCATGTTTACTGGCAACACAACAGGCAGCACATAAAAGCTCGTACGCTCTTCGAGCTTACAGGACAATGTCAATGTCCCCTCACTGCTTTACCAGAGGGCCCTCCACTTTCCACAATTCAAAGCAGCAGAAAGGAGGGGAAGAAGCCGTACCAGGGCCAAGTATGGCTCTGTGTGTGTTCTTCCTGGGCCACTACAGGCCTACGATCCTCCTTGCATTACCGTTACTCTGGGAAGTGCTTCATAGCCTACAACGGCCCATCTGAAGTGCCCAGGACACACAGTTTCATGGATCACAGTAGGTAAGCCGGGGGGTGAAGGCCAACAACTAAGGACTGCCTACAAACGCAAGACCTGAGTATCGCAGGATCTGTAATGGGATCATCTTGCTACACACACAGTCGCTGGCGCAGCACCTGCTTCAAGCCCAACTCCCCTTACCTGCTTCACACAGCCCCAGTTTCTCACGACCCACCAGGATCATGTAGGGCAGGATAAGTGCATGCGTTTGAGTGTGTTTTCTCCCCACAAACGCTGAGCATTTCTTCTCTAACCACTCAACAAAACCTTATTGCTTATAAATTGAATTTGGCTAGATACTACTTTGGGAAGAGACTGGAGTTTCTTTAGAGGCCACAAGACTACAAAATCACTGGATCACAGAAGCTTTTGAGCACCATTTCTGTCTCCTTTGAGAGGAAAATATCCCTCTGCTAGGAATTGCTAGACCTTTCTTTTGTAGGACTCCATGGGCTAGCAAGACAAAGCAAGATTATTTGGATTTAATGGAAAATTGGGGCATATTTGTTTTGGGTTTTATGACTGAAGGTGTAGTTCCTCATGTTTCCTTTTCACCGTATCCAATGCTCCAGGGTATCCAGAGTTATCCTTGTGATACAGACTATTTTCCCCTGAGGTCCCAATCAGCAAGGAGTTACGCAGAAATCAGCACTGCACGTGATGCTGGTACAGCAATGCCTCTTCAGGAATGCTGAAGGACACACTGACCAGAAGCACCCAGCACACAAGGACCCAACGCACAGCACCCAACTTGAGCAGCCAGCCAGAAGCGCGTGCCCCCCGTTCTGCAGAGCTCCACTTTCACGTGTTCACTGTATACAAGCTTCAGCAGGACAGAGCATCTGAAAGGCTGGAGATCCAGAGCACGAGTTGACAACACTTATCAGTGTAAGTACTTTAGGCAGCTTGACTGCAGTCAACTCAGATTTGCTGGGTATTAACAGAGCCTGCAGAAAGCTGTGTGTCCTCATGGCTGGCTAGTTTTTCCAGCTTCAGTATCCACCCTATCCTGCATCTCTCTCTATACTATCAGATGGCCACGTGGATGAACTTCCTAGACATCATGCATTTCCCTGTATGGTCACAGAACTGTTTGCACAGGAAGCCCCAACAATTATGAGAAGGGTCTGAGAAGCAATTCGCCGAAGGCAAATTTGCAGCCTTTGCATGTTATCATGGCTAGTAATGTAGATAATCTCAGAGCATCCAACTAGCCTAGGCTGCATGCGCCAAAGGGCAGCAACATGCCTGATACCCCTTCTTGCTCCCTGGAATCACCACCAACTCCAGCACAAGGCTGGCAACCATCACCACCTTCGCTTCCACAGAGGAGCCAGAGGTGCCTCTGCCCATCACACTGAAAAAGATGCCACACAGATAATAAAATGGTACATCATCTATCCAGCTACACATCAGTGTCTCAGGATTCCACCCCTGAAACCACAGTCCTTTGTCCCCCGGGAGGTGCAGACTGCAGGTGCCTCGGACAGAGGCAGGCCAGGCTGCTGCTGCAGCATGTTTCTTCCAGGTCTTGCTGACTCCACGCTCAGCAGGAATTAAGGACACGAGCCACCAGTGATAAAGCTCTCAACTAGCCTCAAGTCTGATGTATCACAGTGGCAGCTCCCCTGTCCCACTCTTTACGACCTGCCCTGTGCCCAGGACCTGGTCCCTCTGGTCAGATGGGGCCAAGGCTTTTGCAGCCTTTCTAATCTCAGAGGACCCTGTGGGAGGTGGCTGATTCGCAGGTTACCACAATGCAATGACAGTAGGTGCTGCTTTGCTCCAGGGACTGCCAGATCCCTTCTGCAGGTACATATGATTGCAACTACAAGCACCTAAAGCACCGCACTTCTTCCTCTGCCCAGGAGACGCCCATTTCAGAAACTTCATTCAGGAAGGCAGTTGGGAGCAACCCCACCTAAGCTGTTCAGGTGACTGAAGATTCAGGCAGAAGTTTCCAGGACATCTGAAGCTCTGCTAAGGAGCACACTCAGTCCCATCCTAGCCTTGGAGATCCAACCAAGCAGGCTTGGGAATCAGGAGAAGCTATCCTGCATCAAACCCTGCACAAGAGTAATTTCTGTGCACACAATAGTTCAGATGCTAGAGATCTCCCGCAAGAAATAGGTGCTGGTCACCCACACCCTCCTCAGCCCGGAGCGGGAGCTAGAGGTTGATCCTGTGTCTCATGAAAGCATCTTCAACATAACACAGCAAGGAATGGCTATAAATACCACCTTTAATTTAATGTGTATGTAGTCTAATCTAAGTCACAGGAATAAAGAGAAAACCATTAAAGGGCACTTCAGAGAGACACTGATGGAGATGCCAGCCTAGGACCCAAGCTCACGCCACGTATGGCACTGCAGACAGGTACGCTCCCTCCACCCTTTCACTAGCAGTGTCTGCACACTCACATTTCATACACGACAGGTCTGATTTTACAAGCTTTGTTCTTCTCCTACAGCTCTCCCAAATTATAGCTGTGCTAATTGATGTTAAGACTTTCCCCTTTTCTGTAGCACCTGGGTATAGTTAATCCTTAGCCTATATGTAAAATGAACCAGAACTGTTTACACAACTCGGTCTGTACCTACATTTTTTTCTCTGGCCCTCCTTGCTGCAAGGAGAAGCAAAACACCACACCTGATTTCAGCAGCTCAGGGACTCCAAGCCAGAGGGGATGAAGGGGCTACTGCCAGCTGCTGTTTTGAAGGCGCTAAGCAAAGATTAATGACCTGCACACAGAGGGAAGAGCACCGTCTCTGCTCCCAGGTGTGGGCACCGCACATCTGCCACGAGGGAAGCCGGGCTTCTCCCCAGTGCCAGGATGTGAGAGCTCAAGATGGCAGCAAGATAAAAAACACACACATTTTATTGGCTATTCCTAGAAAAATTTCACTGCTAGGGCCTATTGAAAGACAGGAGTATTTTTGTAGCATTGCATATGCCAGGAAAATTGCCTATTTCTCCTCCAACTGCTGTTTCAACTGTTAAGTACCAACAGCAAAGCTTGCAAATTGCCCAAAACACCAGAATCCCAGCTGTTTTCTTGACTGAGGTCCTTCCCAAGCTCTTCTCCCAAAGATTTGGGCACAGAACGTATCCCATGGAAATGTAGGATGAGATCCTTATGACAGTTAAGGAGAACAGTAGAAAATTTTAAGCCAGACTTTCCGAGCATTAACCTTTTTTATCAGCAGTGCCCAGGAACCCCGGCTACAGGAGACAGGTCTCTACTGTGGTGGGCGCTGTGCAGACACAGAACAAAAGGACAGCCCTGGATGCAAAAGAGCTTAATCAGACAAAAGATACAGATGGTGGAACAGAAGGAAAACACATGGCAAGCTCTTCAACAGTGCAGTTGCATAAGGGACAGCATTTTTCAGGAGACACTAGACAAACACTGGTCAGGCGCTGGTGCTGCCCTGGGGCAGCGGATGGACTCTATGACCAGCCCTGCTGCCTGTGACCAACAGGAATGCTGTTAAGAAAACACCATTAAGAATAAAAAACACCGCCTGGAAACGTCATCAGCGTGCTACCAGGTCAACAGCTCCTGAGCTGAGCAAGAGCTGCATGCAGAAAGCAAAACAGAGAGTAGAAATTCAGCCATGAGCTACTGCCTCTCCCCGTGGTCCCACGTTCCAGGGCTCCAGGTGCAGCTGCCCACAGCACAAAGGGATCGTGCAGACATCCCTGCCACTTGCAGGAGCGTGCCAGCCCTGTGGCTTTCTCACTGCCATACACAAGACACTCTGCCAGCCAGCTTGAGGGTGGATCTGCCTCAGATGTGAAGCAAATGCAAAAACGAACATGTTTTTTCAAGAAGCTGCTGCGGTCAGTCCTGGGGCAAAGGGTTGCTAGAACATGGTCCTCTCTCCAAGAGATTTTCTGCAAGGAGAGGAGGAATTGGATGGTTTGAAATCAAGATATATATGTCTGGGATGAGCTGGCAACTGCTGAAGACACGGGCAAGTTATGCAGGTCATTCCAGATGAACATCAATAAATGTTTTTGTAAAATCGCACCACCCTAAGGCCAGACACCTCTAACCACCAGGAAGTACACCCCCATGCATGTGTCATGGCTCACACAACAGCTGACCTGACCTGTCCTTGCCCAATGCTGGAGAGCTCGTTCTCATCAGGCCAGTGGCACTGCAGGAGGAGCAAGAGGAGACTCCCACATCCAGGAAGGGAGGGCAGAGCTTGCGAGGCCATCCGTGCCCTGGGAAAGCTGTCCTCACTACTAAGAAAGGGTTGTTGTCCCAGGCTACGTAGGACAGCAGTGTTGCAGAAACTTGACCGTGATTCTGATTGTTGGTCATATTTCACTACTTCTGTCTGCAAAGCTGGGGGGCTCTGGACAGGACAAATGACTCAGGACCAAAACTACACTGTTTTGGACTTACTGTCTGATAGAAAGTGTGTCTCTGCAACATGGTGTAGGTAGAGCCTGATGCTCCACTGTCACAGGAAGGTATTACCAACATGAACGTGGAGCAACTGATGATCTGTCTGCTTGACCATCCATTTTGTTGTTACAGCTTCATTACAAGAGGTGTAATGTCTGGAAGGATTTTTGAATGCCTAGCTCCTGGAGCCCTGTGACTGAAGAAGGATCTCAGCAGTCTTGTTCTTTTGCATGCGTTCCCAATCTTCCTGGCTCCAGAGTAGAGGCTGAAAATGGATTTTAAAAGACAAACAGGAACCACCTTCGTTCTTTTTAGCAGTTTCAAAATTTAACTGAGTATGATTTTGACCCTGGCTCCAGGAATGAGTATTTGTACCTGGCAAATCCATGATAAGGGCTCAGCTCGTGACCAAGCAGAGCCACACAACAACTGTGAAGTCTAAATTCATGCCAAGACACTTGTTCTCTGGTTGCACAGTACCATGTCACCCCTGCCGTGGGCCATGCGGGTGAGCACTGGACCTCCATCTTTCAAACGGCTTAAAACAGGGCTTCCAACCCACTACACCTCCTGAGCATGGGGGGCAGAATGGGTAATACCTTCTGTGCCATGTTTGGATGGCATATGGAGTATTTACATCAGAGTTCCAGAAAAGGAACTGGTTTTTTTGCTCAATGTTTAATCACAGTTTCACTAGCCTTGGAAAAAGAACAGCAAGTTCCCTCCATACGAGCTGTCAGGAGGCTGTCCTCTGCAAGGGCTTCCCTCTAGCTTTTGTTTGACCTTTTCTTCCGTCTTGACAACCTTCAAAATTATAAGCCTCCAAGGGAGCAAGAATGCACTCAAATTTCTCAGAACTACTCAGGACACTTCATACTGCTCTAACAAAAAACTGGCACTCCTGACAGAACTGTATTTTAATGCAGAACACCACACATGTGCACGCACAGAGAGTCTTTGCACAGCCTGGGTCATTGCTGTTTGTGCACAAACATGCCTGGACATGCACGGATTTGCAGGGCCTATTTAGGGAGACATGTCAGACACAAGCGTCTTGAATTTATTCCTTCATTTTCTCTTACAGCCTATTTCCAAACTGCCTTCTGAAGACAAAAGGCAGCGAACAACTGCACGACCACAGAGCTGGAGGTGTTTACACACTGCGGATCGACCACAGAACGTCACACAAGGCAGGGTGACACACTGGAAGACCTCCTGAGTGACTCTCCTGGCCGTGATCCCCACTGGGACTGACCAAGGAAGGAACGCAGAAGCCAAGGGAGATGACCTGCCTGTGGCTCATGGCTACTCGATGACAGAGGCAGCAAGAGTCTACCAGTCTTACAGCTCCTAGATTCATCAGGCTCCACCCTTCTGGCTCAAGGGGATATCTGAAGTTTTCATGGTGAAGAAGGTATTAAGTAACGAACAAAGGACATACAGGTTTTATTATTCCTGGCTGCCAGTCAGGACCTTTTGTTATATAAAAGAATAATAATAAAAAAATCAGTATTTGTGGTCTACATGTCTAGCTGGCTTTTGTTCTGGATGTTTGTTCGGTTCTTCTTGTACCAATATTTTCTTCAATCCTGATAATTAACCCCACATCAAACCACGTCACAGAATGTCCTCGGTAATTAATACAACTAGACACAGGCAGCTAAGCATCAACTTGCAACAGCAGCCTCATTTCAAGGAATCCCAGCTCTTAAAGCACAACTGCTAGAGCATGAATACCCCGAGCACAGAGTATAAGGACAAGCTGACTCAATAACCAACCTCAGATGAAGATCAAGATGCTTTTCCAAGCCACCAAACCGTTATGACAAGCACAGGATTGTGCACGAGACAGACAATTCATCCACTGCTGGTCTTTCAACTAGTACAAGCACAGCTGGCTTATGCTAGAAGAGTCCCCAGAGAAGGCCATGCTTCACTTCTCCCCAGAGCCAAGAGGAGAGGGAATTCAGCTCCACACACTGCCTTTATCTACCGCTGCCTTTCCTCTAAAGAGCAGTGGCTTCCCAGAAATAAAGGCGGATCTCCCAGAGGAGTGAACCTGGGATGGGAATACTGAGTCCAGAGAGGCTGAGGTCAAACCTCTATGTTTGTCACCTAGCCAGGGGCTCCAGCTGACCAACAGGACACACACGTATGTCTCTTACTGTGAAGTGCCTCCACTTTGGTAGGATGCTGGGGCATGAGGCCAACTTACTTTCAGTCAGCCGACCGAAAGGTCTAGGTTTAAGGTCCACGTCCACAACCACACCAGTTATGCACTGCATTGAAAACAAAGCTTGAAGCCTGTTGGCAGCCTTGCAACAGCAGAGCAGCCAATTCAAAACAACCACTTCAAGAATAGCGGGAGGTGCGAGCGCTACCCAATGCTCCGAAGGACTCGTGCTCTTTATGGGAAGTGCAGCAGTGTCATCAGGCTGCCGCACACTCTCGCTATAGCCAGGACACCCTGTTCCTTTGACACAGACCACAGCTTTGTTCTGGGAATTGTTTTGGACTCCTACAATGGATCTGACTACACAGAAGACAGCTGCCTCAAGCATCTACAGTCGGGTTCAGCACATGAAACCAGAGGGTTACTGTCAGATTTTACCCCCATGCACCCAGAACAAAGATGCCCTGCCGCAGACATGCCAAGGACCGGAGCAGGTCACAGAGCATCACACTCTCACCACTAATGGCACATCAGATCACAGAAGTCAGTGCTCGGTGCCCTCAACACACCTTGGCTCAAACCCCTGGCGTTTCCCAGCCAGTCCCTTTTTCAAGTTCTCAACAATGATGAATAGAAATCCAGAAATGTTATTCAGGATAGACTCAAGACAAAGCAGATGAACAAGCAGAAGAAACTCATGGAAAAGACAAGTTTCAAAAATACAAGAAGGGGGAAAACATGCATTAGGGCAAGCAGAATCTTCAGCAAGGGGTGACAGACCAAGACCTAAGCAAGCCACTTGCCGGGAAACTGGAGCCTGGGTGCCTTTTGCAAACAGTCATATCCCTGACTCTGCCTTTTCTCCATGTTTTTGGAACCATTCCACTTCTATAAAGTTTTGAAGCCTTAAAAATCAAGCCATTCTGAGGGTACAGTGTCGCTGGTGATGTTTTCCATCAGCCCTCTCCAACTGCATTGTAAACAATCGCTTCCTGCTCCTGTTGTGTAATGATTCAAAGACGAAAACAAGCTGTATTTACTTTCTCCAACCGAGCAATTCCAGCCCTGACCCAAAGCAACTGCATGGGCTGCCAGGCCTCCTCCTCCTTCCCCTCCTCCTGGCTGAGCTCTGCAGACCAGTCAGGTGAGAGAGCAAAAGGGCAGAGGAAAGTACACAGAAACAAGGAGCACTTGCAGTTGCCGGCACCAAATTCCCTCACCCCCCTCCTTCCCTCCTGGGCTATTTTAATCCTGCTTTCTTTCAGCTACTCTGAGCCTCGGATTTTGTTTTCCTTCTGGCTCATACAAAGTGTGAGCAATCTGCAAAGGCAAACCAGACTCCTCCTGACCATAAGAAGCTGATTCTCACCAGTTTAACAGTAGGCAGTTACTAAGGGTTTCATTTAGGCCTTTACTGCTTTTAATACATAGCTTAGGAGAACACAGCAGGGTCCCAAGCAAGTATCCCAGGGCACCCAGACTTCATTTTATTCTTGTTTGTGCACATTCACTTGGCTTGGTGTCCTGGTTTTGGCTGGGATAGAGTTAATTTTCTCACTGTGGCAGGAGAAGGCTGGGTGAGTGTTCAAGGCCAGAAGGGTTGCACCAATAAATTACCAAATATTTACAGTTTCCAAGAGAGCAGCAAGGGGTTGGATCAGCAATTCAGTAGGAAAAAGCTCCAATTTTAAGACTCACGTAGGAAGCACACCCTCACCTGCATTTGGACAGTATATGACACAACATGAGGCCTTGTTTGGCATGAATACACTGATTTCAGCATTATTCAGGCAGTAAAGCTCAACCGATACCCCCCTCGGGATGTAACCTGCCAGAAACATGCACCTTTCCCAATGCCAGCTGGCAGAGGTCAAGAGAAACAGCAATTGATGTTTCATCCGATTTCACTATCAGGTCTGGCAATCAAATCTGGCACCTTCTACGGTAACCTCCTTGTCGTTTGAGTTTTCCCACCATGGACATTTAACAAAGGGATGGGTATGACACGAGCATTAACCCTTCCGGGTCTCGAGAACAATTAGAGAGGGTGTATCAAATTCTTGGAACAGCAACTACTCTAACGCTAGCGAGATGGGGAGCACGGAAGGTAATTTTTGAAGAGGTCATTGTGCTCTGACAGTCAAAAGCATAAAGATCGGACCCAGGGCAAGAGCGGAAGAAGAACTGTTTGGGGCTCTCGACCACCACCCTCGCCCTGCAGATTTCAGAGCCCCTTGCAGTCGTCGCCCCACCCCAGTCACCCCAGTTCCTCGGATGGACACACAAGATGTGACACGGAAGGGCGACTGCTCAGCAAACACCGCACACGGGTTTCTTGTGCTCGACCACAGCAGCTGCCCTCCCAAGCGCGCTCACTCCGGACAAATTTGTTGTTCCATGCTTCATAAAAAAACGGCGGCTCGCTGAGCAAGCATCTCCCCTGCCGAGGGAGAACACCCGCGGCTGACAGGCGGCGCACGTATCAATACCTCGGCAAGGAGCAACGCTCTTCACGCCTCGGAGGGGAGGCATTCGG